GCCGCTGGGGACCAATACACGCACACGCAAGGGCAGCCCTTCGCGACCTCAGACCCCTTTTTCCCCCGCCAAACCCACCCCCAAACCCACCAATACACACACGCACACGGCCACGACACGCACATCGGCGACTATCCTCTGTACCCGGCGGGGGGAGTTCGGAAGACGAGCAGACGGCGCAAGTCCTCGTCAGCATCTGGCGCTAGGCCGTCGTACGACCTGGCGGGTGGCAGCGGCAGCGGAGCCAGCGGAGCTGCAGCAGCTGCTGTGTACGGCAGGGAGGGAGAGGGAGAGGGGGAGCTGTACGACGATGCACTCCACATCGGTGACGAGCAGGTCAGCCATTGTTTTCCCCTTTCCTCCCCCCCGGCATCTTCTCACCCCCCCCCTATCCCTCGCCGGTTTTCCCCCCTCGTTCTCAAAAAACACACATCCGGGGCTCTCACTCACTCCCCGGGGCACACGCACCCAGGCTGCCGCCGGACTGGTCGTACTAGAGGTGTCGTACATCCCACTACGGCATGAGGACGTGTCTGCTCCCGCTGTCGGGGGCCGCAAGGCGGCGGCGGCGGCGACGTCATCGGAGGCAGCGGCGGTGGCGGCGGCGGCGGCGGCAGCCGCGGCGGATTTGGAACGGCAGCGTCGCGAGCTAAGTGACGCCGCCGCCACCATCAGCGGTGAGGTGGCGGGTCTTATAGACCCACGGGTCGCCATCACGAAGGCCGCCGCCGCTGCCACCGGTGCCAGCGGCGGCGGTGGTGGCGCTCCCGCCGGCTTGGCGACTGGCATTCCCGTACGAGTGGAATTTGGGGCTTTATGGTCCGGGGAGTTCGCGAGGGCGGTGCGGCAGTCGGTCGGAGCGGAGGAAAAGGTGGGGGTGCCCCGCGGGGGTGGAGGTGGAGGTGGGGGTGCATCGCTATCTTTTATGTGTGGTGGTGGTAGGGATGTGAATTTCAGCTGAAATGGGATTTGGCAACCTTAATTACGTAAGCTTAAAAGCGTAATTCAGTAAAATGGTGTAATTTACGGTTTCCACGGCCTGGACCCTGGACCCTTAATTTAAGGTTGCCGTACTAGTGTACAATTTTGGATTTTCAGCACAATTTCAGCGTTTTCACATTCGCAACACCATTCTTTACTTATTTACATATTTTTGACATCAGTTTGGCGCTTGTACAGCCGACTTGGCGACTATCGCCTTTCCAATTTGAACCATGGCTGACGCGGGCACGACCCCCGGCACCGGCGCGTATGGCGGCGTTGATACTGCAACACCACCTGCTCTTAAGGACCAGCAGCAGCATATGAAAAAGGGCACCACGCTGCTCGCGTACGCTTTGCCCCCTCGCAATGCTGCGGGCTTGCCGGTCCTGCCGCCCCGCACGTCGTGCGACAAGGCCAAGCCCTGCGACTGGGTGCGGGACCAGTTCGATAAGCAGAAAGGAAGTTGCACTGCGGCGTCCAGCTCAGCCAGCGCAACGTCACCCACAACAAACAGCCGTGCATACATACTCGACCACGACACCTAATACCGTTGCAAACCAGGACTACTTGTCGTGTTGACTACTTGACTTGCTCTTTTGCTTGGTTGGGCGGAGGGAATCGCGGGTTTCAACCTGCATTGTTGGACTCTTTCACGCTTCCCCCATGGCTGGGTTTGTGGTGTGTTCGGAGGAGTGGACGGGTCAGCGGCACCCTGGTTTGCAGACCGGCGGAACCTGTAAGACCCATGGGTCTGTTAAGCTTTTTAGGTTTCTACCCCTCCTGAGGGACCTTATTACGGCGAGCCCTTAATTCCGTAAATTACGGCCAGGTCCAACCTTAATTACGTAATTACGTAACATTAGTTCCTTAAAAACGTAAAAACGTAATTCACATCCCTAGGTGGTGGTGGTGGTGGTGGTGGTGTGAATGAGGACAATGAAGAGACCTTCCCCCCCTTCCGCTTCGGTCATGGAGTTTGTCGTACATGTCGTACATGAGGACATATCGGGCAAGTCCCTTGACAATCGCTTCTTGGTGCAGTAGCCGTTACTGAGAGACCATGATTACATTCTTGGTACAGTAATTAGCACTTCCTGCCGTACTCTCACACACCCCAACGAACACGTGAGCAATACACACACACGCACAGCTCACTTCCCCCTCGACACCCCCCGGGTTGAGTCCAGACCCCCAGTACGGTAGTAGGTACGAATATAGAGTGGATGAACGGATGGATGATTAATATGCTGCAGTAGCTGGCGGTATAGTTCAATATTATCATTGCCAAACTGTTATCACCAGCAAAGCGCCGAAACCCCCTCGGATCCTGTTACTGTTGTCACATGTTTGTGTGTATGTGTGTATGTCGGTCATTCTCAAACACACACACACACCGGTGAGCGGCACTCCCTCGCTGGGGGCGCCCCCGGCTGCATCATCCCGCAGTCGCTACCCCTCGGGGCAACAGTCAGTGGGATGAGAGCGTCTGAGTGTGTGTATGTATGTGTGTATGTGTGTATGTTTATCTCGGTTCCAGTGAAGTGATCTGTTTCTCCCCCCCTTTTCCCCCTTCCCCCCGCACCCTACATACACACAGGCCGTGTTGACGGTTCGGGTAATGCGGCTCAAGATGTTGGCGGGGGGCGGCAACACGGGAACGGCGGCCGGAGTGGACCCCTTCGTGGAGCTCATTCTGCTGGTGGGTTTTAGGGTTTTAACGGTTTTAGGGTTTTAGGGCGCGGAGGACTTGGTGGGGTTTTATGGGTAGGGGGGGTGCATGCGGTGTCGGGGAGGTTAGGGGTGGTAGGGGTGGGGGGTTTGGAGTGTGTAAATGGCGGGAAGTGGGTTGGAAGTTGTGTACGACCGGCCGGGTAGCAAGTACGGCCCGGGGGGGGGGCTGCAGCTGTTGAGGGGAAGGGGCACCCCGCCCTTCTTCCCACCCGCAGGGCTTCCCCCCTCCCGACACAAACACACACGCCCATACCCTCTCTTTACCCCCGCCGTCACCCAACCCTTAAACCCGCTTAGGACTCTTCTGGTCGAGTGGAGGCCGTACGCCGTACACCTGTACGGTATAACTCCGGCCCGGTGGCTGTGTGGGCTGAGGACCCTCCTCTGCAGTTCTTCGGAGCCGTTGCGGGAGGGGAGCTGGTGGTGAGGTCCTGGGACAAGACCTCCCGGGGCTGGGAGGCGCTGGGCAAGGCGCTGACGCTGGTGGCGCAAGTAGGTGTGGTGTGTGTGTTTTGACGGGGGGGAAAAGGGGGAAAGGGGTCTGTGGTGGGGAGGGTAGGAGGGAGGGGCTTTGGGTTCCTGGTTTCGATGAACATGAATTTCAAAACCCGGGAGTCGAGCCTTGCTTTCTGAATCCGGGACATGGGTGTTTTGGCTGATGAGGGGTTTACATGTGTGGCAGTTGTATGGGGTGCGACGAAGTTCGTGTGTGCGGTTTTGCATGGACTGGGATGGGGTGGCGGCGAAAAGCATCGTATGTGGAGTTTGGAGAGTTTATTAAGTATTTTTTAAATGCTTGAGGGTGGAGGTGGGCAAGGTGGGGGGGTGGCGGCCGACCTATGGCTAAGAGGTAAGGTGGAGCTCGCGAGCCCCCCTTCCCTCGGGCTCCCTCCCCCCTGCGCTCACTTCTTTCTTCTTGCCGCCCACATCCCCCCCCCCGGCCCGATGATGCCCCTTACGCAGCCCCGGGCGGATGAGCTGTTGGGGGAGGTACGACTACCGCTGATGGCTGTAGCAGCCGCGGGTAGGCTGCAGCGGCGCTGGCTGCTACAGCCCGCCGGCAGCCGGACGCTGCTCGGGGCAGCGGAGGTGGAGCTACAGCTGCAGTGGCTGCCGATGCCGTCGGGCACCACTACTACCACCACCACCACCACCACCACTGCCCAGCACTCCTAAGCAAAGCAGTACCAGTAGTAGTGCCAAGGCAGAGAAGTAGTCGCAGGTTCGATACGGGGTAGGCGCTAGGTTTTACGGTTTGGGATGTGGCTTTGGCGGTATGTTTGTCTCTTCGCTTCTTGGCGCCGATTAGGGCGGAGGATGAAGGAGGGGGAGGTCGGAGGGAGTTCCTGTGGCGATCACGGGTCTCGGATAGTGCCGGATGAGATGGCAGAGTTGGAGTCTCTCTCACCTTCCTGGAGATGGAGGTTGGGTGTTGGGGTGGTAAAAGGCGTTGCACTCCTGAAACTCTAAAAACATTAGGATTGGGAAATGGATTCTTTTTTCGGAGGTTGTTGTGGAACTACTTTTGTTAACAGGAAATGTAAAACTTTTGCTACGAAGAGTGTCTTCCAGAGGTGTCGTTGCAGCCTACAGGCAAAAAGCTCGCATACAATCATGCGAGGAAAATTGAACTACTTTCACCCTCTCTTCACGCCCCTTCAGCCGCCGTAGCCGCACTGCGTTGCTGCACATTTACAATATGTATGTGTGGTTCATATACCCGCCCTGGCGGACGGTGGCACCGTTCATCCGCCGGACGGTCGACCGTCCGGCACAGCTTTCCGGGCACACATACCAACATACTTTTGCACGAAGTGTTAGGTTTTCTTGTTAGTTGTTAAGTCGTTAACTATCGTCGTGGACAATCATTTGAGATATGGATAATGTACGACCTTCCGGCGCCGCCTAGGCTCTGGATGACTATTTAAGTCGTTGTGTTGTTTAGATTGTTATGTCATCGTTATTACATCTTGTGCTGGATTAGCTGGCTTACGTCGCTCCGCCCTCGTTGTAACATTTGTGACATCCCAACGAGAAACGGAGCCCATGCCCTTTCACGAAGCAAAAGACATTTTACTGTAGTTTATCCTGGTGCTCGCGGTGCGCGCAAGCGTGCAGCGCGCGCAGAGTTTGTCTCGATACCAAAATTGTAACAAAGCTTGCAGTTGGCAAAGCAGTTACGAAGGAAAATATCCAACGATAAAAAGGTGGTATTGATAAATACCATTTGGTATTGGAAGATTATGAATAGTTCTTGAATGTACCGTTGGTACGATGACCGTTGGACCGGTGAGCCAAGGGCCGCCCGGCCGTCAGGGCGATGGATTCAGGGCGATGACCTGGATCCACTTCGCCTTGCACTTTTTGATACAGGGCGATGGATGACGTACAACAAAGGTCACACTTGGCAAGAGAAGATAAGCCTGCCAACTGAAAATTATTCAGTATTTCTTTAATGAATAAAAGGAATGAAATGCTGCTCAAACATCCAGTGTTGGAAAACGTAGGTGGCGCCGCAACGCTCACCCTCTGATCCGCACAATGCCTTGAGGAATCATAAGACATGATTGGATGGCGTCCCAGTAGCTTAAGTACTCAGTCCATTGCTGGCACAGCAAGCTGACGTATGGATGCGCGGGAAGCCCATGACCCAATCTCTTGCCGTTTCGGACATAGGGACCATATAGGCTTAAAATCAATGAAGAATGTTGGAACAAGCCGTTGATTTGCTTGTTGTAAGCAAGGGGTGCGGCTTTACACAAAGAGGCTTTACAAGAATGGAGTGGGAGTCATGCACATGGGCGCCCTTGCATGGCATAAGGAATGCGAAACATAGGTTGATAACGTTCGCTATATGAATGTTGGTAAGATATTGTTCAGGTTTGGTGGTGTTTAGTAGGTCCATTACCTGGCCATCGGGGTTGCGCGAGCTTCTAACCCAACCCTGACGAGGCCAACGAGTGGATCATCTATTCAGTATACCATCCTCGTTCGCTGCTGAACTTTGCTCGTGGGTCCGTTTTCGTGTCCTTGTCGTTTTACGTG